AATCAAGATAATTGCTGCCACTGTCTCTGGCAAGGACTCAGGGGAATGGGTCTGGAAGTTGCAACCTTCTAATATTACAGTCTATTGTCCTGTCAACCAACCCATTCTCAAGTGCTTCCACAAAAATGATCTCATTAACATAACAAGAGACACTTTTTATCACTCTAAATACTTATGAAATTCCAAAGGATTTGAGGAGCTCTGAGCCAGGAATTGTGGCTAAAGACCAAATATATATTACTAAATTATTTATTTCCTATAAGCCACAATATGACAATAATGTAGAACACACATATTTAGTGCAAAGATGGAGAGAGATGAATAATAGAACAGCAACACAAGAGTTAGCAACAAATATTAGTAAACTTTAAGACCAAAAGTGCCCCTGAGGGTCTGGAAGTAGAATGCCTTTACTGCAATGATTTAGTTCCCTCCTAAGAATAAATGGGCAAGCTTAGAAGACACAGGCAAAAATGAATATCAAGATCAAAACCCAAGTAGTATAGTGGATTTTGGCTAAGAATTATTTTGTTCTTTATAATAAAGGATTGATGATTACATTGGTAATTTCATCTGTCTTATTTATGGTCTTATTACTTATACTTGGGACTAAACTTATTGTTTTTAAAGCATTTTTATTGTTCAAACTGTTTTGGGTTTTCTCCCAAAGTCCCAAGTAAAAGATTCATAATTGACCTTGAATAATTATGAATTTGATAGAATCTGCAAGCATCTTGATAAAATTTATACTGTGGCTCTATTCTCAGCTAAGCAGGTATCTGAGTCTTGCAGGAAAATTTCTCACTTCAAAAGCTTTTCCTAAAGCAGCTATATACTTTTGGTAGGTCAGGACAAAATACTATTTTGACATAGTATTTTGACATAGTGCATGTCTTTGTGTGTAGGGACACCCACACACTCTTAAAACTATAACAGGTTAGGAGAAAAATCAGATTTTTTTCATACAAGTTGAAGCTTTGTAGTTCCATTATTGTAGTTATGATAGCACTCAATAATTTTTTTTAAATTTCTAAATTTCCACCTGACTTGAAAACTCCATGTATTTTTGATGACTATTTGATTATTTTGAAGTCAAAATTGTTACTGAATTTTTTTCTATACTTAGATCAACAATAACACATATCTGCCTTTACTATATTCTCCAAAGCCTTTTATAGATAATGTCAAGAAATATCTTGAGACACCATTATCTGGCAATTAACACTGCTTCTACCTAAAAGTGATATTTCTACCTGGTATGTCTTTGATGATCCATATGTTGTTCCTTTTTGTATAGATTTATTTATTTATTTCTGCATAGAGAGCTGGGTGATAGGCCAAAGACACAGGAATGTGTGGGATGAGAGGATTCACCAGAGACAGCGGGAGCAGAACAGACATATGGACTGAAATACACTGCTGAGGGGAGCAGTGGGTGAAACAGGAGAGGTCTGCTGTGCCATGTGGACCACCTCCCTGGCTGGGGATCTAACTTAGGCCTCAGTGGTCAGAGTGTGATAGTGCTGAAATTTAACTCCAGTGCCACCAGGGAGCAGGGAGGTCCCTGTTGTTCTTTTATGAGAAGTAAATAGCATCTCAAAGAAATATTTGGGTAGTGTTAGTTCATTCTGTGAAACATGGATAAGAGATGACGGAATACGCCTTGGAAGAAAGATAGTGTGTCTTTGTCTCTTTAACACAGTCTTAGTCAACTGTTAAGAGCTTCTATTTTTTGAGAAAAATATAAGTGTAGTATGGCCCTCCCTGGTGGCGCAGCGGGTTAAGGCACTGCACTGAGAATCTAAAGCCGCTTCCGCATGAGTTCAATTCCCGCCTGCCCCGGAGGTGACCACATGGCGCAGCAGACCTCTCCTGACCAGCCCGCTGCTCCCCTCAGCAGTGTACTTCGTCGATCTGCCTGTTCTGCTGCCTGTTCTGTTCCCCACTCTGTCTCTGGTGAAGCCTCTCGCCGCCTCTGAGCCTCCGGCCTGTACCCCAGTTCTGTATGCACAAATAAATAAATCTTTAAAAAAATATATATAAGTGTAGTAGAAGAATGGACTTTAGATCCAGGAACCCATAGGCAGTATTGCACTTCTTTTTAAATTTTATTTGTTGTTATTGAGGTAACATATTGAGGTAACATTGATTTACAACACTCTATGATTCAGAGATGTACAATCACACCTCTTTGGATGCATGTTACACACCACACCCAGCACCCAGGTGTGGCTCTTTACAAGTTCAGTAATTTTGACAATTTCTCTAACCTGTCTGAGCTTCTTTAAAAATGTGGATAACATTATCCTTGCAAGTACATCGTGAAGACTAGAAATAATGCTCTGACAAATGTTAAGAACTCCTTGGAATAGCATCTGATGAATATAAATATCTAGCATAGTGAGTGGGGCCTGAAGCTGCTTCATGAATGGATATTATTTTTATCAGTTCATTTGCAATATGCTGCTGCTTGTTATTATAGTACCTGGTGGAAGTGCTTCATGTTCTGATCAGGATTTCCCCAATCAAAAGCTTGGAACTGACCAGAGTTAACAGCCTATAATAAAATACAAATAATAAGCACATGAAAATGATAAAACAGTGTACATTTAAAGTCAGCAAATGAGAAATTCAGAGAATTGACATGTCCCACTGGATAGCACTTGAGCTAAAATTCAATAAAAATTAATAAGCCAAATAATTAAAATGATAAAATTTGATACTAATTCAGGGAACTGATTTATATATTTTATATAAATATATTTTATATATTTCCCTGTAATTACATATATTTTTATATTTCCCTTTGATTTCCCAGTGAAAATCTTCAATCTTTACTGTCAGAGAAATTTCTTAAAGGGCAATGAATTGAATGATTCTTCATTATCTTGGCTTCAGAAATTTTGATAAATCTTTTTTTTTTTTTAAGAAACCAGTTTCATATTATGCATATTAAAAATGTTGCTGTTATTATCAAGTAATTTTATACATATTCTTTTTTTCAGTTAATCTAAAATATTCCACTGTAGCTCCTCCTCTTAAACATTTTTGTTACTCTTGAAAGTCACTCTCAGAGGCCTGGGGCTTTCTGCTGAGGTGTGGTACGTACCGGCAGGACAAAGCAGTCTACTGTGATGTAAGTCCACAGGCCGAGGGCAGAGACACTATACAGGGCCATTTTTGCATTTTAGTTGTGGGACTTCAGATATTAGAATAAAACCACTCATATACCTCGGGATCTATTTTCCTGCTCTTTGCCACCATGTAGAATGAAAGCAAATAATTTTCACATTTTACCTCAAGCACTTTCTACTCTCCAAAAAGATTTGATTCTCAGATATTTTTTCACTCTTAGGATCTTAATACTGATTTTTAGTTTCAGTTAATTCCAACTAATTTATCTGGACAGAGGCAGCAATGTGGTGCTACTGAAATTCAGTAGGCTTTTTCTCAATAGAAGGTGCTAGTCAAGCTCTTGGTTTTAAGCATCAAGTAGACCTTGCCTAAATCTAGGCTTAATGCATTTTGGTTTTGGGTTTTTTGGTGTTTTTTTTTTTAAGATTTATTTTAATTTATTTATGCATACAAGAACTGGGGTCTAAACCAGAGGTACAGGGATTGAGAGGATTCACCAAAGACATAGTGGGGAGGGGAGCAGAAACAGGAGAATTTACTGAAATACACTGCTGGACGGAGCAGCTGGTGAGATAGGAGATGTCTGCTGCACCATGTGGGTCAGCTCCCTGGCTGAGGACTGAACTCATGCTGCAGTGACTGGAAGTAGCTTGATAGTGCTAAGACCCACTTAATGCATTTTGATTTCATGATTCAGCGCAAGAGCTTTCTCTAAATTGTTTTCTTACCTGGAAAAAAGGAATGACAATATCATTCTTCTCATAGGAATGCGAGCATTAAATAAGATCTATGTAATTTAGGAATAAATTATTTATTTATTTCTACTCCATCTATTTCTACTCTGAAGACAATTTTCTGTTAAAACTGAAGAGTTCTGGGCCCTCCCTGATGGTGCAGCGGGTTAAAGCACAGCACTGAGAAGCTAAAGCCCCTTCCGCATGAGTTCGATTCCTGTCTGCCCCGGAGGCGCTCCACGTGGCGCGGCAGACCTCTCCTCACCCGCCCGCTGCTCTCCTCAGCAGTGTACTTCGTCTATCTACCTGTTCTGCTCCCCACTCTGTCCCTGGTGAATCCTCTCACTCTCCGCATCTCTGGCCTGTACCCCAGTTCTGTATGAATAAATAAATCTTTAAAAAAAAAATACTGAAGAGTTCTTAAAAGCAGCCATTTGTGAGCACTATAAGGGACTGACCCTCACAGTTGGAATATGAAGCTAGGAATGCCTCCACTGAAAGATTATTATGAGAATTCAGTGAGACTGAAAGAAATTGGATTTATGAATAGCAAGTAAGTACACATGGGATGTGAAAATGAAGTTGCGTTATGCTGAAGTTTATGTCCCTCTGCGGGTCTACCTGTCTCCTCACCAGTAGGAGGCACTGTGTCCCAGACAATCCTCTGGAAAATTGAAGATGGCATTTCCTGTGGAGGGAGCACTTCAAAGAATTTCAGAAATCTTCAAGCTATCTGAGGCAAGTTATCTATAACATTTTCTTGAATTGCTAACTAAACATTGTGTTAAATACTGGCTACTTTAAAGCAGATGAACTGTCTGCAGGCAGGGTCTTGCCTTGGGAGATAATAATTCATCTCTTTTGAGTGGCCCATCCTGTCTTTCTTAAACCCTGTATATTCGCCAGATTTTTCATGTAACCCCTGCTTCCCTGCATGAAAAAGCTCTAATTTTTTGAATCTTAAGATTTTCTACCATTAAGATTTTCTACCATTTGCTAGCATAGCTTAAATCTCCTATTTTCCTTTAGGATAATTTGGGAAGAACTGACTACTTTACAATGTACAGTCCTTCCATTCAGGGATATGAAATTTATCTCCAGTCATTCAAATCATCTTTTATGACTTTTTAATATTTTTCCCTGTAGTTTCTATTGACTTCTTTTTTGAATGACTTTTTTAAAAGTTCTTTTTTTTAAAAAAAAAATATGTATTTATTTGTATATACAAGAACTATATAGGCCAGAGCTGTGTGTGGGGGCATGAAAGGATTCACCAGAGACAAAGTGGGGAGCAGAACTGGCAGGTTGATGGAAGTACACTGTTGAGGGGAGCAGTGAATGGGTCAGGAGAGGCCTAATATGCCCTGTGGTTCACTTCTGTCGCCAGTGTCTACAGATAGCTGCATAGTGCTGACGCTAAACCCCCTGAGCCACAGGGAGGTCTCTAGAAATTCATTTTTAAAGAATACTTTTTTACAGTTGTTTCTAGTAATCTCTTATAATTTTTTGTTTTTCTGCATTATCTATCCTGACTTCTTTTTTATTTGTGATCCTGTTTATTAACATTAATTCTCTTTTTTGTTCTCTTTCAGTTAACCTATCTAGGGATTTATCTATTTTGTTTACTTCTTAAAGAACCAGTTGTTAATTTCATTGATATTTTTTGATTAGCCTTTTTGATCCTACTAGATTTATTTCCACTCATGTTTTAAATTATTTTTTTCCTTCTATTAACTTTGAATCTTGTTTCAAAGAATCTTCTCATTTTCAAGTTGATTTAGGTATGATATTTATACTTATAAGTATTATTTCTCTTGTTGTGTTAGACCCTTAAACACAACACAGTATCGTTCTTTATATTTTATTACCTTTCCTAATTGAGGACATGTTATCAAATATAAGTATAGCAGTTTCTGATTATTTTTGGTTGCAACTTGCTTGTAAAATTACCTTCCAGTATTTAATTCTAGGTCTATTTCTGTTTTTGTTGGTTAGGGGAGTGTCTTACGAACAACCAAAGGTTGTGCTTTGTTTTTAAGTCCATTCAGCCATTCTGCATTTTTGGCTGGTGAGTTCGGGCTACTTATGTTTAAGGTGATGATTGATATATAAGTGTTTATTGGCATTTTAAAATATTTTTGTTTGTTTTAGTTTGTCTTGTCTTTTTAAAGCATTGATTCTCAGCTTTGAATAATGGAACAGGACCTCCGTGGTGGTGCAAGAAGTTAAGTTACAGCACTATGAAGCTATCTGCAGTCACTGCAGCATTAGTTCGATTCCTGGTCTGGGAGCTGACTCACACAGTGCTGCAGACCTCCTGTCTTGCCTGCTGCTCCCCTCAGCAGTGTACTTTGTAGATCTCCCTATTCTACTCCCCACTCTGTCTTGTGGCTCCTCTCACCTCTACCACGTCTGGCCTGCACCCCAGCTCTTGTATGCATTGCATAAATAAATAAATCTTAAACAAATTAAATAAAATATGGAACAAATGTATTGAGAGTCTTAAGTTAAATGAAAACTGAGGATCTCAGATATATTAAAACTCTCTTGCACTCACACACATACACACACACAAAAGACTCAGAAAGCTACACCAGTCAAACTTTATTTCTCAATTTTTCAAATATTTAGTTGTATAGTAAAACAAAACAACAAAAGCTTTTGAAATAATATACCTTTTCCAATCTGAAATGTCTTATGTTTTAATCGGGGATACACAGAACTTTCTGAAATGACTTGTATCATATTATGTAAAGTTTTGTAAGAAATGCTGATTTCTCAAAAGAGAAAATACAAGTATTCCCTAGACCAGGCAACTTATTTGGGATTTTTATCCCTTGATTTCCTATGTCAGCTTATTTGGGAATCAGATCCAAACCCTAGTATATATAACAATATATAAATAAATGAAATAAATGAAATCAAAATGAGTTAGTATCAATTTCAGAAACATCAGCCCAACAGTAGTGAGTGCCTGAAAAATCCTATAGTGAACTCTCTGAGGGTTCTCATCAGGATCCAACAGAGAGAGAGAGAGAGAGAGAGAGAGAGTGTGTGTGTGTGTGACATATGGAGGCACATACCTGGGCCCAGTGCAACATATTTTGAACAGATGTTCCTGCACTGCTGTGTGCCCAATAAACATCCAAGCGACTCTGTAAAGTAAAATTATTACTTTTCATCTGGAGGCAAATCAGATAATCACACCATTATACCACAAGTAAAGTTGATTTTTAAAGAATAAGCACATGAAGACAGATCAGCAGCATATCAAAAATCAGCCAAAGAAACCCATCTTTAAGAATCTCCCTCTCCCTAGCTCTATTATTCTGTCTTGGCTAAAACCCTCGGTTAAAGACAGACTGTAAAGCAAATTTTCTTTACAGTATTACCACAGGGAGATCCAGGAACATAGGAAATCAAGGGATAGAAGTCCCAGTAACTACTCCTTCACTTTGTGCTCATTCCCCAAAGACATTCTGAGAAACTGTTGATCGTAAGACATGGAGAAAAGATCTGGTTCCTTCTTTTTCTAACTTAATGACATAAATATTCTACCAGGTTCTTTGAAAGCCTATGGGATATCATCCATCTAACATTTCAACCTCTCTTAACATTCAGATTTTTTCTGAAAGTAAAAATTTGATACTTTCATATTTTCAATTGTATTCTATTTTTCAAAAAATAGAGTCACAGGAATGATGGTTCCATGAAGTGAGCATCAAAAGTGTGCTTTAAAGAAATTCAGCTACTTAGGTGCTACCCAAACCTATGAATCTATATGAAAATCTCTAGGGTGCGTGCTGGACATATATATGTTTTCAAATTTCCAACAATGTTATTTATGCATACCTGGCTATGCACCACTAAAAGAAGCATGTTTAAAAAATTTTATTTATTTAGACATACAGAACTGGGGAACAAGCCAAAGATATGGGAGATGATGGATTTACCAGCGACAGAGTGGGGAACAGAACAGGCAAATGTGCTGAAATAGACTGCTGAGGGGAGCAGTGGTCGGATCAGGAGAAGTCTGACACACCATGTGGGTCACCTCCCTGGGCAGGGATCGAACTCCTGCTGCAGTGGCTGCGATAGCTTTATAGTGTTATGTTTTAAGCCGCTGCACCACCAGGGAGGGTCCATTAGGCACCATAAATGTCATTGTGCTCAACATTGGAAGAAAGCAATCTGACTATATAGCCGTACCATGAGGGCCCCCAGTAACTAGTCAGAGATGTCACTTGTGAAGTTTGTATTTAGCCAACTCTTAAGCCGTGGCAAGAGGATGATTTGGAGATGATTTCTATTTGTTTTTTAATGATTTTTTTACTTAGCCCTGCTTTTATGGTATGCCTCGATTGTCATGGTATGTTTCTATGTAAGTGACAAGCAAACATAGTTTCTCTAGTTAACTGAGAAAGTGAAAAAAGAACATATAAAGACATTAACTAAGGCATGCTTTACATAAAAAATCTTTTCATAAATCTTGCAGAAAAGCAAGGGGACTGTTAATCAGTGCTTTCCCCTGACAGGGAGAGGAGGTTCTGGGTAGAAGTCTCCCAGTTAAATGGAGACCATATGAGATCTGTATCGTTTCAAATGTATCTGCTCTCTAGGAGAGAATATTAAAGAGTATTAAAGAGTTGCTTTTTGGTTTTGTCCCTTTCACCCTTCAAAACAGTGGTTGCCCAGGAATGAAGGGATCTCAATTAATTTGGAAAGTACCCCAACACTCAGTACCCCTTGAACAGTGACTCTATAACTGTCATTGAAGAACCATCCATTTATAACTTTGGATTAAAGAAATAAGTAACTCCCCAAATGACTACTTTCAAATTACCATCAAAGTGGAAAATTGGTAAAAACAAAATAAAAAGAATAAATGTCTGGGCTCACTATCTTAAATTCTGTTCTAGGACATCTGAGATAGGGCTCAAGATAATTTTCAAAACCATATGATTCATCTAAATGAAGGATTTTTTACCCCCCCCGGTGTGGTAATTTGAATAACAGCAAGCATTAGTGGGAATGTTCATCCACAAAATCTTCTCAACTCTTCCTAATAAAGGAGGTAGACTGTTCTGGTTGGAGGCCATGACCATGTCAATCATAGTCCAGAAGTCAAAAGAAGACCCTGAAATGTGGCTTCTGTGTAATCTAGAATGAATTCTCATTCCTCTTTTAACAAACAAGTGTTTTCCTCCACCTAACTCTTACACCTACCATGTTTAAGTTGTTTGCATCATATCCACCCACATTAAATAGGAAGTTGCTGCACATGTGATGAAATAGCTTCTTGCTGCAGAACTTGGTAGCAAAGAATTGGTCAAAAAATGTATGAGGTCTGAACATCTTGTCACCAAATAATCCCTGCAATATCAATTTAAGATATCATCAAATTTCATATATGGGGATGTCAAGAATCAAGAACAAATTATTTCAAATATACTGGAACGGAAGTGATATCTGCTCAGCACAAGTTCTCAGTGAAACCAAGAAACCAGTTACATTTCATCTTTATAGTTCTCCCAACTTACTTCTTGATGCAATTCCCAAGATTCTCAATTTGGGTTGTTTTTGGATGCCCCCTGAAAAACTTGTTCCCAGAGGAAACTGATAAGACTTTGGAATCTCATTCTGGAGTCTATCCACTAGAAAGGACTGCTATAAAGATAACAGGTCATGTTTAAAATGCCCCTAGTATGGTTCCTTGAACCAATCAAACATTCTAAAATCAATGACTCTTATTGTAACTATTGACTGATACAGACATGAGAGGTCATTCGTTCCAAAATCTTTTAATAAGCTCTTTCTAGAGGCAAATGCTTCCTACAAAAAAATTAAACTTTAGTAGTAGAATTTCCAACAATGTTGTGATTTCAACTTATCTTTTTGAACTTTAGGAATCCATTTAAATTATGACATAAATTAGTATCTAAGCCCTCTATAATGTTGCTTTGTTTCACAATGACTCCTTTTATAATCAGAGGATAGTAAATTAAGATATGAAGCTAGAAAATGTTTCATGGTTTGTTTGTTTGTTTGTTTGTTTGCATAGAAGAACTGGGGTGCAGACCAGAGGTACAGAGAGAGTGAGAGGATTCGCCGGAAGCAGAGTGAGGAGCATAACAGGAGGATCTACTGAAATACACTGCTGAGGGGAGCAGCACGAGAGACAGGAGAGGTCTGCTGTGCCACGTGGGCTAGCTCCTTGGCCAGGGATCAAACTCTGGCCATAGCAGTGATAACACTAAGACTTAACCCCTAGGCCACTAGGGAGGCTTAAAAAAAAATGTTTTTTTGATTATCAAAATATAAAGGTTTACTACATTTATAAAAAATATGTCATATATTTCTCCTGGAATTCTTTATTAACTGACAATTCCAACTGAAAAACAATAATAGCTATCACTTATTTTTTTATTATACTAATGTACTACAGTATCTTATATTATCTTTGGCAAACTGAATCTAGTAGATTCCTACTGTGTGTTATTTATTGGGGCATGAGTAAAAAAACATAATAGTCTTTTGATGGAATATTTGATTTACTAAGAATTAGTAAAGTAAAATATGCTATACCTTAACTTTACTGTCCCTTTATGGCAGAGGGCGGAAGGCAGGAAAAAGGGAGGGAAGAGAGACAGAGAAACTGCAGAGATTATAGCATGCTAACCTAGTTTAAGTCATATTTCCGTAAGTCCAGAGAGCAATAATTAGCCACTGCAGCCATTATCTAACTTGTCGCCCTTCTTCTTCATTTGTCACAATCACTGGGTCTCTTGGATGATACCAACTGATTATTTAATTTACTTGCCAAATTGTGGCTCTTCCTGTATAATTGTGCACACCTCAATTTAATAATAGGAGCAGTAAACAAAGACTGGGGCAAAGGGAAGGGAAGGAGAGAAAGGATAAGTAATTGGTAAACAGAACGTAGGAACTACCCAATGCCATGACTTTGATTCTAAAATAAAATCAGTTAATGGTATGTAATGTTTATTGAGCACCTAGTAGAGTCCAGGTATGATGCTGAGACACATATTAAGTTGATGACTCTCCCAAATAACCTGGAGAATTCTATACAATTTTATTTACTTGTTTGTTTTTTTATAACTTTATTGAGAGATAATTGACAACTATAATTATATGTATATAAACTGTATGAAGATTATTGATTTGCTAATTTGATATAAATATAAACTATGACATTTTTATGAATTTTAAGACAAGCAGCACATCCATCATCTCACAGAATTAACTGTATTTTATGGTGAGCATATAAGATCTATTCTCAGCAAATTTTAAGTGTGTGTTATTAATTATAAAATGTTGTACATTACATCCTGGGAACATTTAGATAGCAGGAGAGAAGGCCCAGCCATCCTAATGTCTCATTGACCTAACTTAGCACCTATCAGCTGAAGTGTAGTAAGAATCCCACACCCACTCTCCTCATCTTTGCGGCTCTTGATATCCTTTATTCCCATCCACTTCTATTTGGTTCCCGGGACAATCTTTCTAAAAAAAGATTTTATGTGTGTCATTGCTCTGTGCAAATACTTTTCCATGGTCGTTCATTACCATTTAGAATCTTAAGTCCATTCAGAATCTACTGCTGCATTTCCAATATTATTTCTCATACTGCTCTTCACAAATTTAAAGTCCCCTAAAAGACTTGACATGTGGTTTCCAAGGCTTGTGCTTTGCTACTTCAATGCTGCTTCTGTTTCCTTCTTAGTTTAGAAAACTTTCCCACATCAGCCTGCCTATTGAGACTTGTCCTTAAACCCTAACTCAAATACTGTCTCATCCTAAAAGTCTTCTGTGATTACAACAGATAGAAGCACTTTCCTCTGAATTTATTTAACAATTTCTTCACTGAAATATTAGATTGATGCTAGAGCTTCTATTTGGAATCAATGGATCCTATGTGGTAATAGTTCTTCTATTGAAGTTAAAACTCTTTGGGGACAATATTTCTAAAGAAGACAAACATGATCAATTCATTTCTCTGCTTAACTTTACAAAGGGCTTCCCCCTACTGCGAACAAAATTTAAACTCATTAACATGATGTAATTGTTCCCCTTTGGCTGTCCCCCTTTGGCTCCTTGGTGAAATCTCTCACCACTCTTACTTGTACCCTAATTTTCAGTGATACCCATTGATTGACAATATCTTTATACTGTCATACCTGTTTCCTGATATCATGACTTTGCAATAGTAGCTCCTAGATATCTTTCCACTGAATTGAATTCACTACATCACAGTCACATGAAAGCATTGATTACCGAAGCACAGCTGTGCAAATTCAGAAGAATGGAAAGATCCCAACATCTCAAAATATTTGAATTTCTGGGAATGAAATAATTTAGCAAGAAATAAAGTTTTGTTTACCCAATTTTGGGGGAATTAGCTTGGAATGAAATCTCTATGGTTTAACAAGTCTGAGTAATAAGAGGGAAATTGGAACATTTCCCCTGATATTTGTCATTCTGGGTTGTATAAATATAGAATTGACTCATCATAGGCTAATCTTGTTTATCTCTCACCAACCAAAATCTCTAACTTATATAAAAATTATTTCACTTCACAGACTTTCACTGGAATCTAACAGTATGATCACATTCAGTGAGCCATGACAGAGGCCCATGTTAACATCAACATGAAAACACACCAACCCATATAGATAAATTGATCTCAACTGAGTAAATGATCACATTAGCTACCAGAGAGAGTTTGGGACCTAGAATATTCCCTAGGTGTTGAGGAATTGACACACTAAGAGAGAGTCTGTGAAGTGTAAGCAAGTGAAAAAATTTGATAGTGATGAGAAAAAAATCTTTAGAAATCATAACAGCAATAGCTGCAATCTAGTAAGAGATCTATAATGTGCAAGGCTGACTCTAAAGTATATTCATATACGAAACATCAAAGGTCTTGACCAATTTACCCAGCTAATTAGGCTTCAAAACTTTGCCATCTGCCTCTCTATTCTGATTTCAACTCCTGCAGTGTACTGACCCTAAAAACGTAGAGGCAACAGAGAGAGATTTCACCTTCTAGATTAAACAAGTCAATTAATCAAATGAGCTCTTATTATCTATGATTAAGATTAAACAAACAAATTAGTCCAATGACCTCTTACTTATCTATGATTAAGGATTAATATAAGAGAAAAGGCTGTAGACACAGAAAAGAGTTGGGTAAAATAATACTGTTGGTGAAATTGTAGAGCATCAGTAAATTTACATGTATAGCTTAACCACCTACAATGTTCTCATTTACAAACTAGAAGTTTGTAAAATGTCATGTCTTAGATTCTCTTTTCTTGAAATCAGTGAAAAAATTTTTTTTCTTAATGTTGGCAAATAAAATAAAGTTGGTTTTAATTACCATAGATTTAAAACAGGGAAGTCACATACCTTGATTACTTTTCTGGAAAGAGTGGTTAATTTTCTCATAGGACTATAAGAGTATTTTACTGTAACAACTGGGGCTAATGCAAAAAATAGCTTAATTCTTTCAGCCAGCTCTGGATTTGTAGAGAATGCTATGAAAGCTGAAATGGAAGAAGACAGATTTAGGAAAAAATAGTCATCATTCATTTTAGATTACAGTACAAGCAGTACATTAAAAAAAATCAAAGTACTATTTTTAGGATCATACTTTCTAAGTTTTTCTAGGATAGAATTAAGTAATTTACAATGGTGTAAATTATCTGATATCTGGTAATCTATCATCAGCTAAAAGAATTATCTGATATTATCATCAGTTGAAAGAATTCCTATTGTAAATTCAACCATTTGTAAAATATGAATGATAATGGCCTCAAATGTTTGTTTTTCTAATGAGAGAATGTATGTAAAATGCAGAGAATAGTAACTACTTTACACCAGGAACCTAGGACTGAGACACAGAAAAGAGGCCCGTGGCAATTTGGTTGATGACAATATGGTCTCTGGCTGACTCAAGAGCAAAGAGGGGTGATGAGTCTCTTGGCCAATATGACTCTAGGCTATCCCAGTATTCCTGGGATAATCACACGTCACCCTGATAGTGACATAATCATTAGGCTTTGTAATTGTCTGCTTTTCTTGCTTGTATCTCTTTCTAGACTGAGATTTTTAAAGAAAAAGAGATGTGCCATATTTATCTCTGCCTCCCCAGCAAATAACCAGGAGTGTTACAAATGTGTGTTGGATATACAAATGAATAAATACATCTCTCTTTCTAAGGCTTATGTATAAAGCCCAAATTCAGTCCTGGGGGTTCTAACACCCATAGTCATCTTCATTATATTTACTCTTCAGCAATGAGAAAATGGTTTCTGAAGAGTAAAAATGGTTTCTCAGCTCAAGTGCCCAAGCTAGATGCTGAGAGTGAAGGAATCCTGACACTTTTTATGAACATGGAAGATGATCCCCTGACACTCTTAGGTCACACCTGCCTCAAACGCACCAATTGTGGTGCCCTGGGAATGGCCCACATAGTAGAGTTGCTCCTGTCCAGTTTTCTCTATGATAAAATTGATTGTGGCTGGAAGGTCGTATTTAGCCATCTCATCCAGACTGCCAAAAAAAAGAACAGACATGGAAAAAATATTTCATTGTTAGGTGTGGATTATCTACCAACCTATCTCTCTCTACCTGTTTATCCATCCATTCATCTATCTAGTAGAATATTCCTTCTTTGGCCCCAAAGTTTTAAATGTATTAAATGCAGATGTAAGCAGTTGATTTTTGTTAAATATAACACCAGAGTCAATATGATAACATCCATCTGTGAAACTTTTGAAGATGTCATTCCTATTAAGAAACTGGAATTAGAAAAATCTGACTTGCAATGCCCTTTAGAAGATTATCCTAAGACTAGCTCATAGTTCACTTGATTCTATAGCAGCGTCACCAGATTCTTTTAAAAAGTAAAATTACCTGGAACACTTATTTAAAAATCAGAACAAAGAATTCAGATTACAGACCTCAGCCCAGACAGACTGACTGATTCAGAACTTCCAGAGAAGAGTCTGGTAATCTGTGTGTTTATCAATCACCTCAGGTGCTTCTTTTCACATGAGTAGTTGAGAAAGCTCTCACTTACCACATCCTTATATTTGCAATAGTGCAACAGCACATCCACATTTAGGAAGCAGGAAATGCCAATGACTCCAGGAATAAGACAGGAATGAGGTCATGACCTACAAATGACCTTTGTGACCTTCGAAGTGCGGTCCCACACAGCACAGAGGTTTTGTTGCTGTGATCAAGCCAGCCTAACTGCTAGAGCTGACAGCACCCCAGGGTTGTTGCTACCAATTCTGCTCTATTTTTTTTAAAGATTTATTTATTTATGAATACAGAACTGAGGTGCAGACCAGAGGTGGAGGTGGTGATAGGACTCATGGGAAGTAGAATGAAGAGCATAACAGACAGATCAACTGAAACACACTGCTGAAGGAAGCAGCTGGTAAGACAGGAAAGGTCTGCTGGGCCATGTGGGCCACCTCACTAGCCAGGGATCAAACTCATGCTGCAGTGGCTGCAGAGAGGTTCACAGTGCTGTAGCTTAACCCTTTTAGTCTCTGTGATCAGTCTTTATTGCCACAGGATCTTTCTCAAGAAATGGGGTTTAGCATTCTCCTGAGGCCAGAGTCTGTAACTACTCAATGATAAACACTATTTGAGCATCATCTATGAGGCAGCTGAGGTATACTCTTGGCTTATCATGAATGCATACATGGTTCTCAGAATTTTCCACCAGAACCTTGCTCGGTTTCATTTTTCCTCTTTGGTAAGGTTACCATGTACATTTCTTGTGAGATATAGACAGACAAAGTGATAATTCTGAAATTAAACTTTCTAATGTTAACTTTTGCATTTGTTTACTGTTTCATGATTTCTGGAACAGTTCTCACAGGGTAGCATCTGTGGGTTGGACTGCTCCCTGGATATGAATCCTCAACTATTATTAAGAATTATACTTCAGTGAACACATAAATAAGTTACATGCACATACACACAATAAGTGTGGTCTTTAACACTAACATCAGAGGAAAAATAAAGTCATTTTTCATAACTTGTAAAGGAAGCCTTGATAGACACTTTACTTCCATCTTGTAGATTCCATTGTGTGTACTTGGATAGAAGGAAATAAAAAAACAAAGGGCATTTTTTCATATAATGAATAAAGTATACACTTAATTCTTAGTATCTCCTTACCTAAAGGCCCAGTATTCTAGTGACTTAGGTGAAAATTTCAAGTGTTTTCTAGACCAGGTGTTTCCCCGGCTGTTTCCCATCCACACATCATAACCAGCATCTGCCAGAAAGAAGGCCAAGCTGTTGTTGGGCAGGTTGGAGATCCAGCAACTGGAAGAGGTCATCAAGCCATGCTGCAAGTACACAACAGGCTTTGGATCTGCAGGACACAGATGACAAAAATTCATGTCTGATCTTCCTCAGTGCTTATACGAATATTCTCTTTCCTAACACTCTTCAGTATCAAATGCAGATTAAAAAATGAAATCTAGCCCTAATCTAGGTCATATATCCTTTCTATGCTTCATTTCTCTCTTTTTAATATTGGGGTTATTATATTAATTATTAATTAGTTAACATTGGGGGTTAATTTATTAATTGATTTAATGTTGGGATTATTACATTATATGTAATGCATTGAATTGTTATCTAGGTATTGGGATCAGCAGTTTCTCTGGTTCAAAATCTATCCTACTTTGTATTAACCTCTTTGTGCCTCAGTTAACATCTGTGTCATGGGGATGGATAAAAAATGCTAAGTTGCTTTGTAGCTTTAAGAATTAAATCAAAATTAAAACAAATGAGACTGTCTAGCATTGTAAGTATTTGCTCTGTGGTTATTATTCATATTATAAACTTTATGTCTCAGGAAGCATCTGATTACATATGCATGCGATTACATAATTGTTTTTCTCAAAATTAAGCAGTATATCTGGAAATTGCTTTAAATTCCAAAGGGCTATGCAAATGAAAAAAGTAACAGAGAGAGAGGTGATATTTACCTCCTCTATTTGGCTCTATTACAGAACAAAATCTGAAACTTTACTGCTACTCCCAGCACATCCAGGACTTACCAACTTAGGCAGGACATCTTCATAATAAATCCTACCTGTTTTTCTTGAACACCCTCTTCCATGAGGAATCCTGTAAATTCCAAGGACATAACCATCTGTTGTCACAACATCATACTGTTCATAAGGATAACCCCAGTAGGAAATAATCTGACTCTGAAAAGAGGAAAGGAAATTACACACTTCATGATGTAATCACTTGACTTTGATACATGCATTTCAGGATAGCACTTGAAATCAACCATCTATGCACTGGGTCATAATAGAGCAGGAAAATCAGGTTAACTAATAGAGGATTTTCAAAGGAGAATGCAGGCAAAGCATGGACAAGGCAAGTTGAGGTGACCATACCTCCTGCTTTGCACCCTAGTTCACTCTTAAAGCATTGTGACAAAAAAAAAAAAAAAAAAAAAAAAAAAAAGTATAATCATGCAGGAAGCCACAGGGGATTGCGTAGTGCCCTGTGGCTAGTAACAAGTGAGCTATTACCAGCCTTATGCCTGAAAAGAGATAGGAGGAGCGGTTAGCAAAATCCAGCATCAAAAAATCAAGTTGAGAAGTTACAGTGAGAAGAGCTGTGACATTTCACAGAGCACGAAAGCCTGCCTACGGTAACCTTGTGAGCGAACCAGGGAGCCAGGGCCTGAAAGCATCGGACCACATTCTCCTCCTCCTTTGGTCTCCCCATCAAGATTTCCATCAGCTGAACTGAACGGAAAACCAAGGTCTCTGGAATTCATTGACTTAGTTTTATTAGGTTAACTTCTTGGGCAAGAGAAAGTTGTAAAAGAAAAGAGTGGATTTAGAGGTGTAAACAGCAGATACTGCTCCACAGATACAGAAGAGGTTGTCCTTTGCATAGAGGATGGTTTATGCACTCTTTTTTATTAATCCTACTATAGGCCTTTGAGATAGAATTATACTCATTTTACAGTTGAGAAAATGAAATTTCAGAGAGATTAATAATCTGAGATCGTACACCAGGAATAAGAAAGAATTAGTCAAAGCAACTTTAGCCTCCAGATTATACATTTGCCTGTGCGAGGCACACAGAAGGTGCGTATGAGTTATGGTGAAAAATAAAGCAGTTTTTATTAACCCAGATTCTAGAGACAGACTGGCAAACAGCTCTTCCTCTGTCAGTTATGCAACTCTGGGCAAGTTACTTAACTTTTTGTTTCATTTCCTCAACTGTAAGATAAAGATAAAAACAGTAGTTTCACAGATTTCTTATGATGATTATACATAAAGCAACTGGAACAATGCCTAGAACAAAGTAAGTGCTGTATACATGTTTATTAGTTTTATTACAAGAACCAAAAAGCACCCATACCAGCAAGGAAGAGATTTTATGTGAATGTGGGGAGAAACAGGAATTTTGGATTTGAGGATATATTTTGGTGAACTTGAGTTTTACAGTGTAGTAGACAGAAGAACAAGAAGTAACACCATTAAAACACTTTGACAGTTCCATTCTGCTTTAAGATCTAATAAAAATAGCCTTGAGACATTATTGGTATATAACATATAGAGAAATATGCAATGATGCATTGGAAAAAGTTTTTGAGGACATTTGGCATTTGTCTTTGTTGTTATTTCACATTTCTGCAGTGAATTGTTGCAAAATATATTATAAGCAACCAAAACCAGCCCTGACTACTAAACTAAAATTTACACTAATACAGCTTGCCAAATAAAGAAACTGCTCTAATAAAGCCTGAGGAAGAACTCAAAGACACGCTATCGATCATTATGATCTCATGAGCCTTCTCTTCAGTTAACCACGTCACACAGTAGCTCAGATCACAAGGAGAAGGACAATTCCATGCCCTACATAGGTAGGTCTTTCAAATCATAGATCAGCAATGCCATGGAAAACGGGGAAAACACATGGTGAGAAACCATGGGAACTGCTGAGAACTAGACATGTAAACCAATTATATATAATTAAGGATGCATTAGTGATTCCTTATCTCCAAGTTTTCTTTTATTGAGTGACTTACAATATTCATATTAGCTTCAGGATTTGTCTTGCTTCTTTCCTTGTGAGTACAATGTATAGGTCCAAGAAGGAACACCCAGCATGTTACTGCTAAAAGCTGCCACATTTGAGGTCTGTTTGGGAAAGGAAATATTAATATGTCTATTATCACAAAGAAATTCTAAGCATGAAATTTAGTGTAATCTTTCTATAACACTACTGGGAAGAAACAGAAACATGCTTCTCTGTTGTGTTTAGCAAGGACTATGCTTAATTATTTAAAATTCACCCCAGGGAAAATATGAAATGATAACTTTTTAGTAAGAAAAGAAAAAGAAGAAAGGAAGGAAAGGAGGAAGGAAATAAAGAAGAAAGAAAATTTATCAGCATCAATTAAATCTCCAATAGATAACTGGATAAAAGGAAGCAATGTATAATTTGCATAAAAATAAATATAGTGGTCTATATTTAATTAAAGAACATTTAATATCTCTAGTTGTGAGATAAATCTTTTTTTTTTCTGATTGTGGGTGTGAGCATTGTCACAACCTTGATTGAAATAAATTATTAGCATGTCTTACAAATTTAAAAATATTCATACCTTTCACTCAGCAATCCTATTTATAGGAGTCTCTCCAAAAGGAAAATAACATGTCTGTAAGTATCACTGTAAAATTATTCCCTTTGGCAATTAGTGAAATTTCTCAAAATAAGAGCTTGGCGAAATAATTATCGGCAAGGAGGAATGTAAATATTCAGCTACTAAATATTATGTATGTGACATCTCTACAATATTATATTAGCTAAAAACAGAATGTAAATTACACATATATTTTGAGCTCAGTGATGAACTAAGAGAAGCCAATAATTAAGTATCAGTGTTTAATTCTACTTCGATGAAATATTTTTGGTGCTTTCTCATTTTTGAAGAATATTCTGTTTTCTAATTTTCTATTTCAGTTCTTTATATAAGAAAGAAGTTATTTTTCAAATAAAAAATTGTGAAAATTATGAGGGAAAGGACAACAAATATATCTCAATTGTACTGTGAAACTCTTTAAACTTAAAAACAGACAACAAATAAACAAACAATTTTACAAAAATAACTGAGAGGTATTTTCCAAAAAGTCTCCGTTTCTACTATGTTTATAAAATAAAATACACATTTTCAAATTTTGTTAGAAAACTCTCCTAATCTGTTGTGTCTTCACAAAATGAGTAAGTGATTAGTCTCATCCTTTAGGATGAGTAACTTTTTTTCTTCTATCATATACAATTCCTTGAATCCCTCCTGTAGATTTGTCAAAGACAAAACTTCAGTAGATTATATGCATTAATATACATTGATATTATTAACCTATAATTAATAATATATGGCATTTATAATAGTTATATAATTGTATGTTAAAACAGCATAAATTTGTGTCATTAATATAGTGTTAAAAACAAAATGGTATTACTTGTGCTACAACTCATATCATCAGAGGTTTAACTTAATTACAGTTTTAAGAAATAAGATCTTAATCCAATCAGTATTCACTTAAAAGCATTAGATAAATATATAAATCCGGTCATCCTTTAAAAGAAAGCGATATTGTAATAATCAACTGTTTTCTTTTCATCTAATAGAACTTCCTTTTTCTGGTTCATACTCCTGTATTTCTATAAAATGCTTTCATTTTGTACAACTCCTTAGAATCCCTTTAGATCTAAGGATTTGAGGTTGTCCAACCCATAAATTATTGAATAAAGCAATATATCTTTTCAATGTATTCAGTTGAGTTTTATTCTTAAATAATAGCTTAATTCTGGTGAATCACTCTGTAAGTGATAATAGTATAACTAACAATAACAACTATATATTGAGCACTTTTTATGTGTCAAATATATGCCATACATATATTCTATCTTCAAAATAATCCTAAGGAATAAGAAGTGTTATCCACAATGTACTTAAATTGCAAAAGGATGTTATAAAGTCATTTGCCTCAGGCTAGAAAGATACAGTAAGTTCAGAGGGAAAAAATCTGTTCAATTATAGGAAGGCTAAAATAATGCAGGTAGCCAAAAAAATGGAGCCTTATTTTTGAAGTTTTGTGCAGTGAAATTGCCTCTTAGCCTATAATAAATGCTACCATAGACTTCAGATTTGGCTGGAAAAAAATAATACATGGAATGTGACTACTTGTGAGAGTATACTCCATTGCCCCAAAATCTACTTTCTCTAAGAGTTGTTTTCTGACATTTCCCCCCAACTACTTTGGCCAGAGGGAAAAATTGAGACTTTCCGAAGAATATTGCCTTGTTTCATCTCCACAGGAGGTAGAAAATGTCAATTTTGATTTTGAATAAGATCTACTTTGTTCTATGTTATTCTCATTGACTTTTTCTCTTGCCTATGAAATTATTCTAGGGAACAGAGGAAAGATAGAATAAGAGACGGTTCCTTGCTTCACTCTTGGGAGAATAACCTAAAGTAGCCAAAAAAGAATAGGACTCGGGATGAAACTAGAATACCTCCTGGACACTGGAGACCAAATTGACCATATGCAACAGAAAAGAAACTGAGGAAATTCAGGTCAATATAACGAAAGATGGATGTCTTGGTGAGGTGTCTGGTGAAAGTGAGCAGAACAGAGGATGTTGTTCAAATCCACATAGCCTTAATAGGGTGAGACCTAGTGGACAGCGTTGCTTAATGTGTACCTAACTGTGAGGAGATGTCTGTGAAAGTGTTGAGATAAGACAGGCAAACAGCTCTCCCAGTGAAGAAGATGAAACAGAACATTGACACCTTTCCCAAAACTCCTGGGCTTAAACTGACAGAGTGAAGCTGTACTTGACAGCATTAGAGTGAAGGTGAACTGAAAGCCTAGCCCAAAGTCTGCAGAAACATGTATCTGAGACCCAGAAAGTCGGAATAGCAGTGGTACTCCCAGGATTAACTACCGCTGAACATTATTTACACTAGCAACAGATCCCCCCCCCACCACCACCACCCCACATCCTCCACCAAAGAACATACAACTACTCCCTGATAGATGGTGCCATCTACTGGAAAAGTGGAAATACTGTACTTTTTTTTTTTTTTTAAAGATTTATGTATACAGAACTGGGGTACAGGTCAGAGGTGCAGGAGCAGTGAGAGGATTCACCAGAGTAAGGAGCAGGACAGGCAGTTTGATTAATACACTTCTGAGGGAAGCAGAGGGCGAGACAGGAGAGGTCTGCTGCACCGTGGGGGTCACTTCCAGGGCCAGGGATTGAACTCATGCTGAAGTGGCTGCAACTAGCTTGCTGTGCTGGGCTTTAAACCACTGCGCCACTAGGGAGGGCCCCGGAAATACTGTCCTCTTAAGACTTGAACATATGACAACCTAAAAAGCTAAAAATGGGAGAACAGAAAAATACAATACATGGGAACTTGAGTTTTCATGGGAAACTCCACCAAAAAAAAAAGAGAGAGGGAGAGAGAAAATTCTTCAGAAACCAACTACAAAGACATGGAAGAAATTTCTTCCCGTTACCTACACAGTTCAAATTGTCATAAAGCAATTCAAAGAAATGGAAGAAAACAGAGAAAAGCTGATCAAACATATAGAAGAAAACTTAAAAAAGTGAATGTCCCAAAAAATAAAACTAATAACCAGCTGATCAAAATGAAGTTTTAAATAAAAAAAATAAATGAGTGTAGGACATAAACGATCACTAGAAGATATTTTAAAAATATAGAAAACTCAAGTTTCTATATGCAAAGAATATGCTATAAGAGGAAGAAATCAATGCCATTTATAATGACATCAAAAAGTTAAATACCTAGAAGTAAATTTAACAAAAGAGACAAAGGACTTGTGCAATGGAAGGTAAAAATATTGTGAAAAGAAATAGAAGATACAAAAATGGAAAGATATTCACTAATTGTGGACTGGAAAAATTATTAAGTTACTCTTACCCAAGGCAATATACAGACTCAATACAATTAGAGTTTCAATGGGATCTATAAAATAGAATAAACATTATTGGAATTCATACAGAACTACAAAAGTCACTGAATAGCCAAAACAAAAAAGAAGAGCAATTATGTTAGCACAACCCAGACTTCTAAATATTCTACAAAACTATAATAACCCAAAACAGTATGGCAATATGGTCCTGAGGCAACAACACAGACATAAACAAATAAAATATAATTGAGAGACCAAAATAAACCCAACCTGTGTGACCACTTAATCTACTACAAAAGTTAAGAATATAAATTGAAGAAAGGGAAGATTCTTTAATAAATGGAGTTGGAAAAACTGGACAATAGTCAAAAGAATGAAAGTAGTCCACTATCTCCAACCACACACAAAAATTAACTCAAATGAATGAAAGACTTGGATGTAAATCTTGAAACCACAAAATACTTAAAAATTAAGATAGGTAAAATATTCTATGGCATAGATATCAGTGATGTCTTTATAGATTTGTATATAATAGAAAGAAAAATAAAAGACTATAAACAATTGGAACTATGTCAAATTAAAAAGCTCCTGCACAGTTTAATAAACTGTCACTAAAAACGAACAAAAAGACATACTGAATGGGAGAAAATATTTGCACATCATACATCTGACTAAATACTTATACCCAAGATATACAAAAAACAACTCAACATAAAACAAACAAATAATCCAATCAAAAAATAGTCAAGAGAACTAAATCAGCACTTCTTCAAAGAATATACACAGTTATCGAACAGGCACATGAAAAAATATTCATCATCCTATATCATCAATAAAATTCAAATCAAAACCACTCTGAGTTTTGACTTCCTACCTGGGAGAATGATCCATCTCATACCAGAAATCACAAGTGTTGGCACAGACTTGGAATAAAAAGAACTCTCTTATTCTGTTGGAGGGAATGTAAACTGGTCAATCCCCAATGGAACACAGTATGTCGTTTTCTCAAAAATTTAGAAATGAATCTACCTTATGACCCAGAAATTCCACTCTTAGTCAATTACACAAATGGTACAAAAGCATTTATTCAAAGGGACATATATACTCATGTTCATTGCAGCACTATTTACCTATGGATACAACCTATCTGACAAAAAAAAAATGATTAGATCAAGAGCATGTG